ATTATGATTTATAACTGAATAGTGCTGTTAAAATAATATTCTTTTAACAGATGTTGACCGGTATCCAGTGTGATAAAAATATATATGATGGAAGGAGGAGCACCACACAGCCCATGGAAATGAGTTCTCTTTTGGCAGGACCTGGTAACATGACACCAGGCACTGGCACCTTAAGCAGTGGCAGTAGTAGAACGTCTAATACTAGGATACCACAATTTACTACAAATAATGTCGTGCTCTTGCAAGAGTTGGGCGAAGGTGCTTTCGGTAAGAATTCGAATTTTTTTAAATTAATCTTTATCATTCAAATTTGATGAATAATGTATTTTAAATTAATATAAATATTTCTTTTCTCTTTAGGAAAAGTTTACAAGGGTGAATTGCAAACTGGAAATAAATGTGAGCCACCTATTTATGTAGCAGTAAAAACACTGAAGGAGAATGCGACTCCGAAGACTCAAAGCGATTTCAAAAGAGAAGTCGAACTTATGACAGATCTACGACATCCAAATATTATTTGTTTGCTTGGTGTAATATTGAAAGGAGAACCAATGTGTATGCTCTTTGAGTATATGACTCAAGGAGATCTGCACGAATTTCTAATTTGCCATTCTCCGAGATCGGATGTACCATTGAACAACAGTAGTGGAAAAATTCTAGAGCAACCGGAGTTTTTGCATATTGCTTTACAAATTGCCTCCGGTTGGTATTAATTTATTCTCTATTTATTCTTTATATAATTAGATTATTATAATTTTATTATATCTCTGATAATTATTAATTTCTTTTAGGCATGGAATATTTGGCTAGTCATCACTACGTTCATCGCGATTTGGCAGCGAGAAATTGTCTAGTGGGCGATAATTTGACAGTCAAAATCTCAGATTTTGGTTTATCACGAGATATATACAGCAGCGATTACTATAGGGTACAATCTAAGAGTCTATTACCTGTTCGATGGATGCCACCTGAGTCAATTCTTTATGGTAAATTCACTACTGAATCAGATGTATGGAGTTTCGGAGTTGTACTTTGGGAAATATACAGCTATGGTTTGCAGGTAAAATTGAAATAATTAAAGTAACCTTTCCCAAATATCAAAAGCAATATATTCTAGTTGCGAAAAATTTTTCTTCTAATTTATATATTTTATGTTTCTTTAGCCATATTATGGATATAACAATCAGGAAGTAATAGACATGATTCGCTCACGGCAATTATTGCCATGTCCGGAAGACTGTCCGACAATGATTTACAGTTTAATGATTGAATGTTGGCATGAAGTAGCGAATCGCAGGCCACAATTCCCAGAGATTCATCACCGGCTACACAATTGGTATATAAATCAAACCTACTTGAGTGATTTTTGCAACGAATCTATTACCAGTTATTCCGGTAGTAGCCATAAAAGCACGAATAAAACCAACTCGACACAATTGTCAGCGCCCATATATAATAAAAGCGATCAGAAAACAGGCACTGAGCCAACGGTCATCTGTAATCTCAACGATCACAGCAACGCGATAAAAATGCTGCCGACAGCGAATACTTTTCCAAATTCTAACTGCGTTGAGCAGAGACCAAATTGCGGTTTCAATATGGAATATGGAACGCCGATAAAAACATCTAATAATTACCAGAATCCTACTACAAATGTCAATCTAAATGATGTCTATGACGATAAACAGTGTTGCTCACCCAAGTTGAGCGGTGCGAAGAAAGTTTTACCTGCAGTAGCACCTCAGACTAGTGTGTCCAAAGCAAATGCGATGAACAACGGTTCAAGACCATTGCAAAATGGTGCGCAATTGGTCGTCAGGTTACCGGATCCCAGTAAAGTCACAATTGAGACGAGAGTCTCGAAATAAAGGACTTTGCTATGAATAGTATATGTTTTTCGTATATTTGCCGCAATAATAAATTATCAGTAATGATAAAACACTATCGGATACTTCTTTAGATAGTATCAAACGAACAAAATAAATACAAGAAGCTGCTGCAACACTAATCCCTGCCATATGTATGTATATTTATTTATTTTAACAAATATACACGTATTTTATATTGTCGCGTATTTCGGATGACGTATTGTATGTATTCTCACAACTATTGGAGACTCTTTTTGGATAATATCAAACGAAGGAAGAATATAGAAGCCAGCTACAAGACTTAATCATTGTCATACACATGCATTTATTTATTGTTACAAATATGCACGTATTTTATACTGCCGTTTATTTTAATAATATATGTCGATCATGTCTCATACATATATAAACTAGTTTAATATTTACATAGGCAGGACATAGAATCGGATATCGTGCTTTAACACGATTCCCCATTTGTGACTATAGTCGTGCAACAATAGAATAAAATTTTCAAGACTTATCTTTTTTATTTTTACGAGATAAATATTCAATGAAACATTATATTAGAGTGAGAATATATGTATAATTTATACGTTTATTTATAAGTTATAATATATAAGAAAAGCAAAGAGAGAGAAAGAGATAATTCTATTTCAAAAAAGAAATATAAATTTGCAGAATACAATATCAACAGATATTGATATCTACATTAAAACGAATGTTTAATTATGCATGCTCTGTCCAAAGAGTATAATATTGTATGGAATATTGTTATACTCTATATAAGGCATACCTTATGAATCATGTTTTCAAATAATCTTTACAGAATTGTTCAAAAAGGTGCGAGCACGCGCAATCGGATATATATTGTAATAAGCAGAAATGAAAGAGGAAGCGCGAAAGAGAAAACAAGTGTGAATGTGTGTGTTTCGTGAATGTATGGTTTGAGATGTTTTTAAAAAGCAGTTTTTATAATCATCATATCGTATGCCAAAACTCGGATAATGAATATTGACTGTTAACAAAAAGGTATTCAATTTGTATATTTTATAATAACTGCATATGTGTATCTTTTATCTGTCTTTAGGGTCTCGCTTTTTTTATCGACAAATATTAATTATTATTTGATTATTGCAATTGTACTATATATAAATCTATTATATTGATTGGCATACTTTAGTTGTGGAGCATAGTGCTGATGAAAAACACAATTATGAATTAATTTATTGTAATGTTTATAGCTTCCCCATGTCACGCACATATCGCGAGTATTCAAAAAGTTTTTAATATAAGCATAATTTTACATCGCTAAGAGAGATAATTTTACATTGCTATGAGAAAGATAAGTTGTTACGATAAATTTTTCAGACACTTGCTATTTCTTCAGCCGTATATCCTTAGTATTTCTTGACCTCGACACAAATAACTGAGATTTAATATCAATTAACACGCAGCGACGTTAAAAAAATATCAGCGTTCATGTATAAATCATATGTTATTCGTGTATAGAACGTAGAATATACATCCTAAAAAACGCTAAATTATTGTCACTCGATTCGACACTATCTGATAATGAACTTTGTAAAATTAATGCTTATTTTAACCCTTCGAGGTATAATGAATAACGCAGAACGATTAGAGAAAACATAGAATTAAAGCATCCGAAAGAAGACTGTATTATAACTTTTTATAATTTTGTATTAATGTGAAAAAAAAAAACAAAAAGCGAGTTCCGTTTGCTGGAGAAAAAATAAAGAAGACTGGACTTAATCGTTCGGCAATTTTTACCTCCAATGTTCGTTAACTGGACGGACAATGATCGGAGAGAGAGTGCGCGAAAGTGCTATTTAATTAAAGTTAAATAAGACTTCTCTAGAACTGACGAACCTCCGAATCGAGAAATTTGTATCGATTGTACTCCTAACCGCCTCGAAGGTTTGTCACAGAAACGTAGATCTAAGTTAATTTATGTCGAATAAAAATTTCAGCGAAAGATTATACATTAAGGCCTTTATATATCCAGTCAAATATAATATACAATTCATGTTTTTCGTATGTTGCGATTGATTATTCCCTTCCTTCTATAATAAGGAAATATTGATATATCGAACAATTATGGTAAATAATTAAGGAACTATTAATTAAGAAATTTGAATAATAAATTTTTTCAGACTACGGAGAAATAAATTTGTTTAATTAACTGTTCTAACAATTTTCTATATATAATTTTATCTCTCTATTTTTATTTTACGCTAATTAGATTATCTTTCTATTTATAATATGTATCACATTGCATAATATTTAATGTGATCAATATTTAATTATTTACATGTATAACATGTGTATCTCAAGATCACTAATGTGATAATGAATCTATTTAAATTTTTTGCTCCGCGTTAAATAAATTTTACTATTTTTTCTACCGTAAATTCTTAGTTACATAAAGGATAATTTATAAGTTATGCATAAAAGATATCTCTATAATTCACATTTACGTTTTTTCATGTACGTTATGACAGGTATTTATTATCCTTTCACCTGTGCATTAGTTTCACTGTATGATAACATCGATGCGCCATCAAGGCGTCATGGAAAAAATACTAACACATTCTGTAGATTATCATGATAGCTACTAAAATTGATTAACCACGAACAAATGATGTAAGTAAAATGTATTGTAAAATATCGTCAATTTGCGATCTACATTAAAGAAATAAGTTATTTAAATGTATTGAATATTGTTACTATATATTCTACAATCTTTTAAGTCTTTAAAGTCGTTTATATTGAATATTACTACTATAATTCTACAATTTTTGCAATAATAAAATATGCAATATTCACTTTTTCCTAATTAAATGGAAAATACTGTATCAAAGTAAGAGAATAATCGACGAAAATATATATATATATATATATATATATATATATATGTGTGTGTGTGTGTATATATATATATAATACATATAATCGCACACACATTTCCCCAGTTAGAAATTAATGCTAAGAATTATTAAGTTCACTCGTGTAGAATATTTCAGAAAGAGATGTTATCTAAAGTAAGCACACATCAAACATTTTTATTCTCATTAGTCTTTTATTCTATTAACTTGAGCAAACGTGATCAGATACACGATAATAATTTCACAGTTATTGTGCAAATAACATATATATATAAGTCGTCGTCAGTATATAGTCGTTATAAGTCGTCAAAATGCACGTAAAGCATTTTTGTGAGACAACTGGTTACATCGAATAGGTTGTTGGTATTTTCTAAAATAATGAACGGCGTAATTTGGGATAAGATGCAGAAGATTTTTGTGCCAATTTCGAATGTACCAGCATATGCCATGATGCAACAAGAACGTTTCAAACAAAATCGAGCACTCGAAAATCACAATTTTCAATTGCAGAATTTGACTTTAACATCTTTCCAGGTATGTTATTTTTACTTAGATATCTAATGGTTGTCCTTAATATTTTGTGAAATCATGCGATAACTATATTTCTAAAAAATAAAAATTAACAATTAAGAGTTTAACTAGGCTCTGTAATATATAAATATAAATTTAACATATATAAGATAGGCAATAAGAGCCAAATCGCGGATGACAGTGCGTTATTCTAAACGAAACTAAAATTTTTTCGTTAGAATTAAATACCTGTGCACAAGGCACCAAATTTTTACTTGGACACGGCCAAGATATAAAATTGGAATAATCTCTACAAGAGATTTTTAATTCCATGTATCCCCTATTCCCCCTAAAGAAATAAAGTGCGAGAGAAAAATATAGATCCGAAAGTCGCAGAATCGGGAATCGAACCCGAGACCTTTCGCTTGCCGGGCGACTGCTCTTCCAACTGAGCTATTCAGATCCTTTCGATTCTATACTTATCTCTGTTATATTTTCTCTCGCACTTTATTTCTTTAGGGGGAATAGGGGATACATGGAATTAAAAATCTCTTGTAGAGATTATTCCAATTTTATATCTTGGCCGTGTCCAAGTAAAAATTTGGTGCCTTGTGCACAGGTATTTAATTCTAACGAAAAAATTTTAGTTTCGTTTAGAATAACGCACTGTCATCCGCGATTTGGCTCTTATTGCCTATCTTATATATGTTAAATTTATATTTATATATTACAGAGCCTAGTTAAACTCTTAATTTATACACGCTGGCTTAAAGGCGTTTATTTACCAACATTAATATATATAACAGAGAAAAGTATAGAATCGAAAGGATCTGAATAGCTCAGTTGGAAGAGCAGTCGCCCGGCAAGCGAAAGGTCTCGGGTTCGATTCCCGATTCTGCGACTTTCGGATCTATATTTTTCTCTCGCACTTTATTTCTTTAGGGGGAATAGGGGATACATGGAATTAAAAATCTCTTGTAGAGATTATTCCAATTTTATATCTTGGCCGTGTCCAAGTAAAAATTTGGTGCCTTGTGCACAGGTATTTAATTCTAACGAAAAAATTTTAGTTTCGTTTAGAATAACGCACTGTCATCCGCGATTTGGCTCTTATTGCCTATCTTATATATGTTAAATTTATATTTATATATTACAGAGCCTAGTTAAACTCTTAATTTATACACGCTGGCTTAAAGGCGTTTATTTACCAACATTAATATATATAACAGAGAAAAGTATAGAATCGAAAGGATCTGAATAGCTCAGTTGGAAGAGCAGTCGCCCGGCAAGCGAAAGGTCTCGGGTTCGATTCCCGATTCTGCGACTTTCGGATCTATATTTTTCTCTCGCACTTTATTTCTTTAGGGGGAATAGGGGATACATGGAATTAAAAATCTCTTGTAGAGATTATTCCAATTTTATATCTTGGCCGTGTCCAAGTAAAAATTTGGTGCCTTGTGCACAGGTATTTAATTCTAACGAAAAATTTTAGTTTCGTTTAGAATAACGCACTGTCATCCGCGATTTGGCTCTTATTGCCTATCTTATATATGTTAAATTTATATTTAAAAATTAACAATATTATTTAAATATTTCTGTTAATTAATAATCATTCATATGCTATATAATTTACAAAACATATCACTCTAGCAAAATTTATATATATTACAAAAAGATTTGAATATTAAAGCTATTATAAGATTTAGAAAGACAGGGCCAACCATAACGAGCATATTAAATTAGTTAGAGATGTAAGGTCAACACATAATTACTTTATTTGTTAGTATATACAATGATATTAATAAAAAATAAAAAATAAACATTTCGCCTGTTACTTCAGCCTTCTTCAGTAAATATATAAAAAATAAAATTAAGAAATATTACGCATTAGAGTCTATTTTGTAATGAACCTTTGGTTTGATGAGTCATTAAATTTATATTGGGTGACGCTTATATCATTTATTAAAAATAGATATTGTTTTTGATCGGCTAACCATTTTTTAACTGAGATGGTAACTTTTTAAATATGTCAAAAAACATGCAAACGAGTTCACTGTTGTTATTAGATCAAGTTGACAGTCTATTCCACGTCATCAATCCTTTTGCACATTAGTTGAGAATATCATCAGAACTGCTTAATATGAGAATTGAAACAATTAGATGTTATCCAGCATCAAAAAGTTAGTCCCCATCATCAAGAATATTTCCGAATAGGTTCATTATTGTAGTGTATTTCACCGTGTTTGTTTAAATTGATGAGTAGTCAAGATTCCGCCAAGTCAATATGTTCATTATCCAGTGTCACAATATGTGTTGACTTTACATCTCTAACTAATTTAATATGCTCGTTATGGTTGGCCCTGTCTTTCTAAATCTTATTTTTATAATATTACACGAGCCTTGTCTTTAAATATCTAATTTTAATCTTTATTAAATTTAAAGCTATTATATTTTATATATATTATATATACATTTTTATATTTAATTTTTATATATAATTTCTATATACTTTTTTTGTTATTTCCATATACTTTTATTTCTTATGGTTTAAAAAATTTCATGTAATACATTATTAATTTGATATTTGACATTTTAAATTTTATCTTAAACTTTAATTTTTAAAAATTAGATTGTAAAAATTAATAAGGGACAGAAAAATAGATAACTAATATATATATATATATATATATAAAATATATATATATATATATATATATATATATATATATATATATATATAATATTATACGTGTGAAAACTATTAATGTAAAAAATATATATATATACATATATTTAATTTTTAATGAAATTGTAGTAATTCACGAGGTAAAAAATATATCTTTCGGATTTAATTGGAAAACGAACGAATAAATTAATTATTTATTATTTTCAACATAATAATAATTACTGCAAAAATTTGCTATAGATAATTATGTAATAGAAGATATAAATTAAAAAGAAAAAAAGAAACAGAATGAAAAAACACAAGAATCGAGGAATTGACTAATAATTTCCTCGATTATATGTATTTTAGGAACCAAATTTTTTTGAATTTTACGACAACGACACGAAAGTTACAGGACTTTGCGGTAATTTATGGACTCTTCTCTCCGAATCATTAAATTTTACGTAAGAAATACATATTCTATTGATTAGATCATGAAAACAGATTTTAATATGTTCTTATCCAGCAAACACCGATATATAGTTATATTGCTATAATAAAATGGAATATAACAGGTAATATAACGTGTACGTTACATGTAACATCCATGTTAGTTGTAATTTCCCACTCATAGATGTAACATTTTAATATAACATATATTACATTGTAGTTATATTGTAATTATATACCAAATAGCACATTGATGTATTGATAAGTCAGTGCTATCTTGGGATATAATAACAATATAACTACAATGTAATATATGTAATATTAAAAATGTTACATCTATGAGTGGGAAATTACAACTAACATATACGTTACATGTAACATGCTTAAGTATATAACATTTATATACTGTGTTTGCTGGGTAGATTTATGTGTATATATATATACATATATATATATACACACAAAATTAAGAATAAACAGTGGTTGTAAAAGAGATATTTTGTATATTTAGATTACAACCAATAAGATCAAATGTAAACAGCGCAGGTGTGGTAGAAAAAAACCAAACTTATATAATAATTATTAGACATACTTTTCGCAATGAAACTATTGCTATACCAAAAATCGAAACATACAGTTCGCTACTTACAGCTACTGATTTTACAATGCCTCTATGGATAAATAGGTACATATTTAATTTTGCTTATTATAATAAAGTTTTGTCATTCTATATTTAAAACTTAAATAGAAAAAAAAGTAATTAATTGAGTTTCTAAAGAAATATATATTTTATGTAAATAAATAAGGTGTAAATTTATCTTTAATAGTTCAGTAAAACCTTGATAAAGATCTATATCTATATAGATGTCTATAATAATGGTAAAACAATTTTAGTTATCGAACATATATTCGTCTCGAGGAAATGCACGACATCACATGGGTGGCAATGTGTTCTCTTGGAAAGTATGGTGCATTATACTGGTTATGCATGTAATGCTAAGCATCTGTAGTTTTTGGTCACAAATTATTCTCACACGAATCGAGAACAAATATAAAAACACAAACTTCGGCGAACATTTCTTTTATAATTTTGGAATGCTCTGCAATCAAAGTATGAAGAAGCAAGATCAAATATTTCATTTTTGCTCTTGTTTTTCAATAGTTATATATGTATATACATATACTGCAATAAAATTAAATAGCAATGCAAATATTATATAATTTATCAAAATTTTAAAATATCTTTATATATTTTTTATGAAGAAAAAAAGAGAGAAATTCTAAAAGTATGATTTAGAAATTGTGTGATTCAGAAATCAGATTCTAAATTTTATCAATGCATAATATATTATTTTAAAATTATATAATTGTATATATATACATATATATATATATATATATATACATATATGTATATATATCTGTTATTATCGAAAAATTTTATCGAAGTGACATAAAACGTAATTAATTATGTAATAATTGTAATAGGCTACGTTCCTGAGATTCTATATGGAAGATCAAAGATATTAGAAATATCACTAGGTCTTTTTTGTTCTGTATTATATATGGCATTTGGTGCTGTATTATTTATTTATATGACAAAAAATATTATTATACCGCCATTTGATAATCTTCAATCTTTGGTAACTCATACTAGATATAAAGTTATTACTCGAAAGGTTCTGTTGCAGATATTGCATTTAAGGTATTAATAAATAAATAAATATATACATATATAAAGTATTAATATATCTCTAATACTAATTATACATGTAATAAACTAATAAACATAATTTATTAATATAAATTTAACATATATAAGATAGGCAATAAGAGCCAAATCGCGGATGACAGTGCGTTATTCTAAACGAAACTAAATTTTTTCGTTAGAATTAAATACCTGTGCACAGGGCACCAAATTTTTACTTGGACACGGCCAAGATATAAAATTGGAATAATCTCTACAAGAGATTTTTAATTCCATGTATCCCCTATTCCCCCTAAAGAATAAAGTGCGAGAGAAAATATAGATCCGAAAGTCGCAGAATCGGGAAACGACTTTCGGATCTATATTTTTCTCTCGCACTTTATTTCTTTAGGGGGAATAGGGGATACATGGAATTAAAAATCTCTTGTAGAGATTATTCCAATTTTATATCTTGGCCGTGTCCAAGTAAAAATTTGGTGCCCTGTGCACAGGTATTTAATTCTAACGAAAAAATTTAGTTTCGTTTAGAATAACGCACTGTCATCCGCGATTTGGCTCTTATTGCCTATCTTATATATGTTAAATTTATATTTATATATTACAGAGCCTAGTTAAACTCTTAATAATTTATTAAATTTTAAATTTTATTTTTTGCATTAAATAAATTCATATGATTTAAAGAATTAAAAAAATGCTTGTACATTTGTATATATATATTCTTAAATTCAGTTTTAAAATATTTAGATAAGCCCTAACAGAGCTTTTGTACGAGTAAGAACGGCGAAACGCGTTGTCTTTGCATCAACAATTGAAGAAATGTTTGAAACAATATGTTCCTCAACAGAAAAAAAATATACTGTAATTCAAGGTGAAGACGCATACAAAGCAACAAACACTATATGCAAACTAACTCCAGTTGGAGAATCCTATTTGAACATGTGGATAGCTGCAGGCATCGCAAAGAATTTTAAGTACAAGAGAACCATCGATCTCGGGTAAGAGATCAGCAATTTTTTAAAATATACAATTATATAATGTTATAATATGTCTGTTTTGTAAAAAGATAACTTTTATAATAGAATACTCAAATTAATGGAAGTTGGACTCTGGGATGTGCTAGAAGAACGTTGGATGAAAAAAAAAATTAAAGACGATTATACTAAAACGATGGAAGCAATTGGAATAGATCAAATTGCTTTACCAATTGCAGTGATGTGCTGTGGAACAGTAATAGCTTTTGTTATTCTTATAATCGAGAAAATCGTATATACTTATAAAATTAAGCAATTGTAATTATTTTTATTTATGCCGTCGCCAATATATACATCAAAAATTTATTTACGAGCAAGAATTTAACTCACATTCAGAAAACTATTATATATATTGAAAATGTTCTTATTTTTGAGTTATTTAGTAACTAATGTAAGTATAATTGATGCTACAATTGAAAACTTGTAATCATTAACAATTCTATTAATAAAAATATTTAATTAATGTGTATTATATCAAATTATTATCAATATATATTATATTAATATAATTAATTATACCACAATTATTAGAAGAGGGGTAATAATCCTAATTAGCATTATCTTATATCAGGAATATCGTAATTATATTATCGTTTTTATAAAAAACAGATTTAAAAACTCTTTATTTTTTATTCAAAATTGCCTTTTATTCTTTATAAGTTAATTATATTTGCTGATATTTGCGAATAAAAAATCGTGCAACTTAATATTATAAATATCATTATGAGAAAAGAAGAATTACAATTTATAATCACATAAAGAATTATCGAGGAAAAAGTATTGCCATTACCGCACATTTTGTATTTTTTTGGTTCAAAAAATATTTTTGTTGTATGTGTCTACGTATATATAAATCAATCATATTCTAGTATTCATTATGTATATATATTTAGAAAAAGTATATATATAATTATATATATTTATAAGAGTTTTAACAAGGCTCTGTAATATAAATATAAAAATTAACGTATAAGACGGGCAACAAGAGCCAAATCGCGGATGACAATGCGTATCCTAACGAAACTAAATAATTTTTCGTTAGAATTAAATACCGGTGCACAAGGCACCAATTTTTACTTGGACACGGCCAAGATTTTAAATATGAAATAATCTCATATTTTGAGATTTAATTTCAATACCCCTTTAACCCCCCTACGGAAAATAAATAAATGAATGCAAGAGAAAAATATAGATCCGAAATCGCTGAATCGGGAATTCCCGATTCAGCGATTTTCGGATCTATATTTCTCTTGCATTCATTATTTATTTTCCGTAGGGGGGTTAAAGGGTATTGAAATTAAATCTCAAAATATGAGATTATTTTCATATTTAAAATCTTGGCCGTGTCCAAGTAAAAATTTGGTGCCTTGTGCACCGGTATTTAATTCTAACGAAAAATTATTTAGTTTCGTTAGGATAACGCATTGTCATCCGCGATTTGGCTCTTGTTGCCGTCTTATACGGTTAAATTTATTATTTATATACAGACCCTTGTTAAAACTCTTATATTTGATACACGCTGACTTAAAAAATGCGTTTGTTTACCAACATAATAATATAAAACAGAGAAAAGTATAGAATCGAAAGGATCTGAATAGCTCAGCTGGAAGAGCAGTCGCCCGGCAAGCGAAAGGTCTCGGGTTTCGTTTCCCGATTCAGCGATTTTCGGATCTATATTTTTCTCTTGCATTCATTTATTTATTTTCCGTAGGGGGGTTAAAGGGGTATTGAAATTAAATCCAAAAATATGAGATTATCATATTTAAAATCTTGCCGTGTCCAAGTAAAAATTTGTGGTGCCTTGTGCACCGGTATTTAATTCTAACGAAAAATTATTTAGTTTCGTTAGGATAACGCATTGTTCATCCGCGATTTGGCTTCTTGTTGCCGTTATACGTTAATA